TCCGCACTCGCCAACTCACGGCGGCGGAAGTCCTCTTGAAGGATTGCTCGCTTCACATCTTCAAGCGAGAGGCGGGGCAGATCTCGGTTGAGGTTGATGATGAGCGAGGACCATGACTCTGGGAGTAAGGCCAGCAACTTGGTCTTCTTCTGGAGCTCACTGTAGTTCAAATCAGCTCCCTCAAGCCGCGTCAACAAGTCGAAGAATTTCTGCACCCCTTCTTCAACCGCTTCATCTTCTTCAATTCGTAGTGTCGCCATTTGCCGTTCCAACACCACAGCTACCGCCGCTGTTGCAGGAGCGTGTACACCCTTGAGAGCAGCCCATGCCTTTGGTCCCTTCTCTGGTTCACGCTGGAATGGCTTGATGTGACGGATTTGGCTGCTCCCCAACGCTTGCCCAAGTAGGAGATAGCCTTGTGCGCTCTTCCGCACCCACGGGCTCTTCTCCGGGTCGTTCTCGGGGCGCTTCTCCGTTCCTTCCATCACCTCCAGCAGGTCATAGTGGTCAAACACGTTCTCCATTCTGAAGGACCACTCAGCAAAGTTGTCACCATTGAACTTGTCAAGGCCAAACACTCTAGGCTCATCCCTAGATGGGCCAACACTTGGTTGCACGGGCGCCATGGCTGAATCACGGGGTTGGCCTTGTGCTTGGGCTTCTCCACTGCCACCAGCACCTCTGCCACCCCTTTCCTCAGGTCCAGCCATTGTCGAAACTGCTCCAAGGTGCTCTGATACCACTTGTTATAAACACAGTAGGCTTCAATGTGCCTAAAACGAAAGATAGAGTGCACAGTCGGATTTCGGCACAGCGGCTTTAAACGTTCATAGCGTTCTGGTCACTGCTTCAAATGACCTGATTCAACTTGGATCTGGAGCGTTTTGAAGTCACCTACAATAGGCAATTTAGATCGCACGATTTCATCAAGTATTGACGGCACAGCGTCGGTTTGAACGAACGGCACTATGGCAGCCACTATAGTCTTAGAACACAAGATAGGAAGAGTTAGGAAGAGTTACGAGTTGGGAATGACTCCCAGCTCCTACAAACCCCAAGAGCCGAGGTACAGTGATGTGGAACAGTGCCAGACTGTCCCCAACCACGAAGGGTCTCGAAACTACCCTTCACTAGGGCCTACACCAAGTGAAATGTTACACTACACAAAGTAATGTAACTATCTTCAATTTCTTGAGGTGTACCCTTTTGGCGAGCTTCGCGATCACTTGAATGTTGACACCAGGGCTCAGTTTCTTCATCACAAACTCATCCTTGAGTTCTTGATGGGTTTGCTGCACACACCTGTGACACGCCGAACGTTCGACAAGCGACAAAATAGAAACCGCGCACGACAAAATAGAAACCGCGTAACACGCGACTAGCGATAACTCGCTATTGACTTGACACACACACTCGACATCATGACCCATCATTCACACACTATTATAAGCATGAAATATATATTTATTTCATGCACTCATACCATTCCATGCACACACGCATGCACGCACACGGACAACAAGCCGAGTGCAAACCGTAGGGTTGCACCAACAAAGGTCAGCAGCTGCACGGCGCGAAACTCCGCACGCAAGTCGGGGTCATCCGGCGTCGCCACGGTACCGCGAGCAAAGTTGATCAGCCCAGCCATCTCCAGCTGGGGCTCGATGGCTTCCTTCCAGGTAAGAATGTCGGGTCGACCAACCAGCAGGGGAGTGACCAAGATCCTATCCGGCGTGAACTTGAAGTAGCCGTAGCTCGGTGCAATCCCGCCTGCTGTCACCTGGGTCGCCGACATCGGCAGAGACCCACTTCGTCGACCTCCGACGTCACCCTGCGAGGAGCCTGCAGCCGCCGACGACCGCATCCCTCGCACCTGAACGCCGCCGACTTCATTTGCGTGAATCACACCACGCTGCCTCGACGACGTGCCTCCCGCACTGCTGCCGACTTGGTCACCACCGGCGTTGACGCCCACGTCGACGCCGCCCTCGGTGTTCACCGGTCGAGGAGATGCAGGCCGAGAAGGAGGGTGCTCCGTCGCCCACACGGAGCGGATGCCAGCCTCGACGACCGCCCAGGGGAGGTCGCCGAACTCCTTCGCCTCATGGCGTCTCCTCGCGCTCTCCAGCCGTGCCTCCAGGGTGTCCACCACCCCCGTGTCACCTACGGCGCCTACCATAGTGACTACCACACAGCTGCCGGCCTACGAACAACTTAGGTAAGGTGCAACTAAGTCGACTAGACTGAAAGGTAAGTCGCGTGTTCGTTCCACGCTCACCGCACCATGAGGAGATAACTACTACAACGGGAGCTAGACTACAGGCTAGGCACGGGTGCTCGTGTGATCTCTGTGTTCACTTGTTCCTTAGTCGTTTCCAAGTGCTCACACTACTTGCTAGTTCACAGGGAGAATTGGCAAGAGTTTCACTAGGAAAGTTTTACAACAATGGTACAACGAAGTTGGCAAGACTAGACTACATCAGAGCTAGCATGCAAGCAAGTCTACTGCCAGCGCAGCACGGTCGACCGTGTGCCAGCACGACTTGGTCGACCGCGCTCCAGCAGTGCAGAGGCGCGGCTTGCCAGTGCTGCAAGTCGACGGCGTGCCAGCATCGCAGGTTGACGGCGTGCCAACGCTGCTCCCGCAGGACAGCAGCGCACCCGCTTCGCAGGTGCTCGCAGATGATTGGCGTGTAGTGCCTCGTCACCTGCACAGCGCACACACCAAGTCAACTTCGTGCTGACGACTGCTTCTGATCAGCCACGTCGACCTCGGGATACCACCACCGAGATCGTCCTCGCCAACATCGCCTGAGCGACCGTCGCGTGCCTTCGCAGAACCTCGTCAGCTAGAGAACCTGGTCGACCGGGCAACCACGTCGACCAGCTGCTCCTATATGTGCCGATCGACCTCCCAAGTCGACGACCACCTCCAGTCGACCTCCCCAGGTCGACCACTATGTTCGGTCGACCAACCACCAAGTCGACCAGCAGGCCTGGTCGACCAACCAAGTCGACCAGAAGGCCTGGTCGACCAACCAGGTCGACCAGAAGGCCTGGTCGACCAACCAGGTCGACCAGAAGGCCTGGTCGACCAACCAGGTCGACCAGAAGGCCTGGTCGACCAACCAGGTCGACCAGAAGGCCTGGTCGACCAACCAGGTCGACCAGAAGGCCTGGTCGACCAACCAGGTCGACCAGAAGGTCTGGTCGACCAACCAGGTCGACCAGAAGTTCTGTCAGCCGACCACCCAAGTCGGCTACCCCAAGTTGGCGTCACCAAGTCGACGCCCTCCGCAGGTCGACTTCCCAGGTCGACCTTCCTGAAGTCGGCGCCATCCTGAAGTCGGCGCCCATGCAGTGGCACCCGTGCAGGTCGACTTCCTCGTCGACCAGCTCGCCCACTGCTGCAGGTCGACTGCACCCCTACACCCGACCACGAAGTTTTCAAACATTATACATGTTGTATTTGTGTAGGCTGTAGTGGGTTAGCCTATAGGGGGGTCACAGCATTAGGGTTTCATATTTGTACTCACAATCCTTGCTAGTTCAATCATTCCAGTCCGTTATTACTGACATGGTTTCAGAGCAGGTCCTTCGCTAGGACCGTTCTTAGGGCCCACCGTTACCTACATACCTACCTACCTACCGTGCGCCTCGTGCGCCTACGCGCCCTCGTGCGCCTCCTACCTACCGCGCGCGCGCAGCCCGCCAGCCGCCCGCGCGCGACTCGACTTTTTTTTTAGCGCGCGTATCCCGCTACCCGCCCGCGCGCGGTCGATTTCGCTGCGCGCGCCCCGCTAGCCGCACGCGCGCGGCTGTTTTCTTTACGCGCGGCCCCGCACGCTGCCCGCGCGCTGCCTGTGCGCCTCGCTGACGCGCCCGCTGCTGCAGCCGCCCGTCGCCCGCTCGCGCACACCCCGCCGTGGCCCCGCAGGCCCGCAGCTCGCCGCCGCAGCTGCCGCACGCCCGCCGACGCCGCTGCCGCCCGTGCACCGACGCCGCTGCCACCCGTGCGCTGCTGCCGCTGCTGCTTGCGCACCGCTCGCTGCTGCAGCCGCCCGTGCGCTGTCGGCGCTGCTGCCCGTGCGCATACGCCGCTGTCGCGCACGCCCCGCTGCCCGCAGCCGCTCGTACGCCGCTGCTTCCGCTGCTGCTTGCGCACTGCTGCCTCCCGAGCGCCGCCGCTGCCTGTGCGCCGCCGCTGCCCGTGCGCCGTCGCTGCTCCTACGCTGCCGCTGCCCGTGCGCTGCCGCTGCCCGTGCACCGCCGCTGCCGCCCGTGCGCTTCTGCAGCCGCCGCCCGCGAGGCACTCGCTCTCACTGTTGTTTATTTTCTACCTACCGCGCACACTGCTGCCACTGCAGCTGCCACCAGTGCACCGTTGCAGCTCCTGCTGCCACGCTACCTACTACTGCCGCTCGTGTGCCACTACGGACAGTCGACCCCGCCCGCGCCTTGCCTAGCGGCCCCGCCGGCCCCGTTGACCCTCCGCACACCTTTCCAGCGGCCTGATTCCTACTACTACTGTTACTACTGCTACTACTGCTACTGCTACTGTCACTATGGCTAGTCCGCCAGTTCTAGCTTTCGATGCCGAGGGCCGTCCAGTGAAGTTCGAAACCTGGCTAGATGACCTGCACCTGTTCCTACAGCTCACTGCCAAGGAAGATATCTCACTGTACGACCACGCCCTAGGCCATGCCACTGCCCCTGACTCGTCTGCTGACAGCACTCTGCGTTCCCAGTGGCAGACCCGTGATGCGCACGCTCGCTTTGCTATTCGCAACTCCCTGCCGCTAGACGAGCGCGAGCACTTCGGCCAGTGCAAGACTGCTAGAGACCTCTACACCGCTGTAGTTGCCCGCTACTCCTCACCCGCTTCTGCCACGCTAGGCCGCCTCACTCTCCCCTACCTGTTCCCCGACCTAGCCTCCTTTCACACTGTCGCAGACCTCATCACCCACCTTAAGACTAGTGAGGCCCGCTTTCGCGCTGCTATGCCTGCCGAGTTTCTCACTAGCAACCCCCCCCCGCTCTGGATCACTCTCTACCACATCGTCACCCGCCTCCCTGACTCTCTGCGCGCAGTCAGGGACCACTTCCTCTCTCGCTCCCCCACTGAGCTCACTGTTGCCCTCCTCGAGAAGGAACTGCTTGCAGCTGAGGCGAGCATCGTCGCTGTAGGCACCTCTCGTGGCGACCCCCGCACCCCGTTCTTTGAGGGGTGTTCCCCTTCCCCCCTCCTCCCCTCTGTCGCCTCTGCTGCTGCTGTCGACCTTCTTGGTGCTGAGAAGGTCGGGACCGCGTCTGCTTCGAGCGGGCGCCGCAGGAACAAGGGGGGCAGGGGTGGGGGTGGCGGCGGAGGAGGTGGGGGTGGAGGCGGTGGGAGTGGAGGCGCGGCTGGGGAGACTAGTGGCGGCAGTGGGGGAGGAGACAGCAGCGGTGGGAGTGGTGGTGGAGGCGGCAGCGGAGGCGGAGGTGGTCGTGGCGGCGGCAGGGGTGGAGGTGGCCGGGGCGGCGGCGGTGGGGGTGGTGGTCGTGGAGGCACTGGCGGAGGGCAGAGTCAGCAGCCCGCCCCGACGCTTCAGGCCGCCCGTGAGTGGTATGCGCAGCGTAGCGTTACCTGCACGTACGTCATTCGCACAGGTGACCGCAGCGGCCAGCAGTGTGGGAGGCCGCACCCCACGCAGCGCTGCTTCGCGCGCCTTAACGACGCGTGGCGCACTCAGTTTCCTGCTGCCACTGAGCTGCCGCGCTGGGCTGATCTGGAAAAGAGGGGTGTTGATATTTGGGCTTTAGACTTTGATGCTATTCTCACTGCCATGTATGCGATGTCTATTAGTGGAGAGGGTGCTCAATACTTGCGTGTTCCGCCCGACCCGGGCATTCAGGCCAGTCCGGCTGCCGCTCTAGGTGCTAGTGCGTCTGCTCCCACAGGTCCTGGTGAGGCTGCAGCCCTAGGTGCTCGTGCGTCCGTGCCCCCTGGTACTGAGTCGACTGCAGCACTGCACACCTTCACACTGGACTCAGGTGCTTCTCGCTCCTTCTTTCGTGACCGCACTGTCCTTGAGCCACTCGCTCGGCCAGTTGCTGTCTCCCTTGCTGACCCCTCTGGGGGTCCGGTCATTGCGACCTCCTCCACTGTCCTTCCTTGTCCGGCGGTCCCGTCCGGCACGCTGTCAGGTCTCTACCTCCCCTCGTTCTCTACGAACTTGGTGGCAGGTAGTGCGCTCCAGGACGGGGGTGTTCACCAGTTCACCCCTGCCTACGAGCGCGTGACACACTGCACGTGTGCTCGGACGGGTCGCCACCTGGCTACCTTCACTCGGGAGCCGGGGTCGGACCTTTACACACTGACCACTGAGTCCCCTCAGGTAGCTGCGTCCGCGTCTGCGTCTGCGTCAGGTCAGCTGTCCGCCCCCTGCTCGTGTCGCTCTCTGGCGCATGAGACTGTCCTTTGGCACCACCGCCTTGGTCACCCGTCTGTGCAGCGCCTTCGGGCCATGCACAAACGGGACCTTGTTGCTGGTCTTCCCAGGGTGCTCCCTCCCCTTCCCGACTCGCCTGCTCCTCCCTGTATTCCCTGTGTCGAGGGACGGCAGCGCGCCGCTCCTCACTCCTCCTCCTTTCCCCCGACGACTGCTCCCTTGCAGACGCTCCACATGGACGTGTGGGGCCCAGCCCGCGTCCGTGGTCAGGGTCAGGAGAGGTACTTCCTGATTGTTGTTGACGACTTCTCGCGCTACACCACGGTCTTTCCCTTGCGCGCCAAGGGTGACGTCCCTGATGTCTTGATCCCTTGGATCCGCAGATCTCGTCTCCAGCTCCGTGAGCGCGTCTGCACTCTGACAGAGGTGGGGAGTTTTCCTCTGGCCTCTTGGAGGCCTTCTGTCAGCAGGAGGGCATTGAGCAGTCGTACACGCTTCCGGCCTCTCCACAGCAGAATGGGGTTGCTGAGCGCCGCATTGGTCTGGTCATGGAGGTCGCTCGTACCTCCTTGAGCCATGCGGCTGCCCCCCATTTTCTGTGGCCGTTTGCAGTCCGATACGCTGCGCATCAGCTCAACCTCTGGCCCCGTGTCTCCTTGCCCGAGACTTCTCCGACACTGCGTTGGACGGGAGAGGCTGGCGATGCGTCGCGTTTTCGGGTCTGGGGATCCCGAGCTTTTGTCCGCAACACGTCCGCGGACAAGCTCTCCCGTCGCGCTGTCCCCTGCGTCTTCCTTGGCTTTGTCCCGGACGCCCCTGGCTGGCAGTTCTACCACCCCACCTCGCGTCGTGTCCTGGCCTCTCAGGACGTCACTTTTGACGAGTCCGTCCCCTACTACCGCCTCTTCCCCTACCGCACTGCCCCGCTCCCCCCCCCGCCTCTCTTCCTCGCTCCAGGTGCTGAGGTACCAGACCCCCTCCCCCCTCAGGGTGCCGCTCCCTCATGTGTGTCCCAGGTAGACCCGGGTGAGCCTGTCGAGGTAGCTGTTGACTCTCGTCCTGCTAGGGGTGCTGAGCCTGGGGGTGCTGCGTCTGGGGGTGCTGAGCCTGGGGGTGCTGCGTCTGGGGGTGCTGAGCCTGGGAGTGCTGAGTCTGGGGGTGCGGAGCCTGGGGGTGCTGAGCCAGGAGGTGCGGAGCCTGGAGGTGCGGAGCCTGGAGGTGCTGAGCCTGGGGGTGCTGAGTCTGGGGGTGCTGAGCCTGAGCGTGCTACACCTGGAGGAGCCCTCTCCTCCCAGCAGCTGCAGGAGAGGTACCTCGAGTACTGCCGCCTCCGGAGAGGTGCTGCTGGAGCTCGTCCCGGTACTTCCCCTCCTACCCAGGAGCTCCCCCCCATTCAGCAGATCCGCGAGTGGTACACACGGCGCTGCAGTCTTCGGAGTGGTGCTCCTGGTGCTGCGGACCCTGGGGGTGGCGCTGCTGCTGGTGCTGAGGACCCGGGCGGTGGCGCTGCTGCTGGTGCTGAGGACTCGGACGCTGGAGCTGAGGACCCGAGCGGTGGCACTGCTGCTGCTGCTGAGGACCCGGGCGTTGGAGCTACTACTGGTGCTGAGGACCCGGCCGGTGGAGCTACTGCTGGTGCTGTGGACCCGGACGCTGGAGCTCCTACTGGTACTGAGGACCCGGCCGCTGGAGTCTCCTCTGCTTCCGGAGACGCTGTGCGGCCGCGACCGTACTTCGTACCGCTCCTTCAGCAGGTTCTTGGGCAGACTCCTCCTCCTTGTCCTCCTCCCTCCGTAGAGTGTCCTCCGCCTGTCCAGCCGCAGTCACAGTTACCACCTACCTCGCCTCTCCCTGCTCCCTCTCCTTACACTGGTCCCACAGGAGGTCTTACAGAGCGTCGTGAGCCTGAGTCTCGTCCTGCGTCGCCTGTTCGTCGTGCTCGCACTGGTAGTCGTGTCCGTCGTGAGCGTCCTCCTCCTGTCCCAGGCACTCACTACATGACTCTGCGTCCCTCTACTGCTCCTCAGCGTGTCCCTCTACCGTCTCCTCCTGCTTCCTCTTTGCCTGACGTTCCGGACCCTGAGTCTGACCGGTATCGTGCTGAGCACCCTACTGTCACGCGTTTCCTTGCTACTGTTGTCACTGACCCTACCTTTGAGTCCTCTGCTGCGTCTGCTCTGGTCGCTGAGTTGGTTGACTTTGCTGCTGCCTGTCGTCTAGACTACGCTGCTAGCCTTGTTGCTGAGTCTGAGTCTGAGTCTGTCTGTCCTCCGTCCGTCGGGGGTGAGTGTGCTCTTGGCACGGACGTCCTTGAGGACAGACAGGAGGAGTTCCAGTGTCTTGCTGCTGCTTTGCCCCGTCTCGTGTCCTTGCTAGTTGCCCCTGAGGGAGACCCGGATGCACCAGACATCCCGACCCCGCGCACTTACGCTGAGGCGATGGCGGGTCCCTACTCCTCTCAGTGGCAGACAGCCATGGACGCCGAGATGGCTTCCTGGAAGTCCACACGCACCTACGTCGACGAGGTTCCCCCTCCTGGGGCGAACATCGTCAGTGGCATGTGGATTTTCAGGGTGAAGCGGCCGCCGGGTTCTCCGCCTGTCTTCAAGGCGCGTTACGTGGCTCGAGGCTTCAGTCAGCGAGAGGGAGTTGACTTCTTCCAGACCTTCTTCCCCACCCCGAAGATGACCACTCTTCGGGTGCTGCTGCACATAGCCGCTCAGCGCGACTACGAGCTTCACTCACTTGACTTCAGCACTGCTTTCTTGCAGGGCAGCCTGCACGAGGAGATCTGGCTGCGCCGCCCACCTGGCTTCACTGGGTCGTTTCCTCCTGGTACCCAGTGGAGGCTTCAGCGGCCGGTCTACGGTCTCCGCCAGGCTCCGCGTGAGTGGCACGACACACTGAGGACTACACTTGCGGCTCTTGGGTTCGCGCCTTCTACAGCTGACCCGTCGCTGTTCCTGCGCACCGACACTTCGCTGCCGCCGTTCTACATCCTCGTGTACGTCGACGACTTGGTCTTTGCCACTGCTGACACTGCAGGACTCGCCTACGTGAAGTCGGAGCTGCAGAGGAGACACACGTGCACAGACCTGGGTGAGCTGACAAGCTATCTTGGCTTGCGGATCACCCGGGACAGAGCACGGCGCACCATCACCCTGACTCAGTCACACATGGTGCAGCAGGTTCTCCAGCGCTTCCGCTTCACGTACTCCTCGCCTCAGTCCACTCCTCTGCCTACCGGTCACTCGCTCTCAGCTCTGCCTTCGGATGAGTCCGTAGAGCCGAGTGGCCCGTATCCAGAGCTTGTGGGCTGCCTCATGTACCTGATGACCTGCACTCGACCTGACCTTGCATACCCTCTTAGCATCCTTGCACGCTATGTCGCTCCTGGCCGTCACAGGAAGGAGCACATGGATGCCGCTAAGAGGGTGTTGCGCTACTTGTGCAGTACGTCGGGCATGGGGCTTGTGCTTGGAGGGCGAGACCGAGTTGTTCTCACAGGGCACTCAGACGCTTCTTGGGCAGACGACCAGGCCACTCAGCGGTCGTCTCAGGGTTACACCTTCAGCCTTGGCTCTGGCTCAGTTTCTTGGCGCTCTACACGCTCTTCTTCTGTTCTCGGCTCCAGTTGCGAGGCTGAGATCTACGCTACAGCCATGGCTGCCCAGGAGCTACGCTGGCTGACCTACCTGCTGACCGACCTCGGAGAGCGGCCTCGTTCTCCTCCAGTACTGTACGTCGACAACAAGGCTGCCATTGCCTTGTGTGAGGAGCACAGACTGGAGCACAGAACGAAGCACATCGCCCTGCGGTACTTCCTTGCTCGAGAGCTGCAGCAGCGCGGTCAGCTTTGTATTCGCTACGTGGCCACTGAGGCCAACCTTGCTGATGTGTTCACCAAGGCGCTTCAGCCTCGTGACCATCAGCGCTTCTGCACTCTACTAGGCCTTGTGCCTACTGGACCTCACTTGCTTACCTCTTGACTTTGCTTGTACTGTGATCACTATATATATCTATACCTGCATGTTTACTCTTGCTAGGTTGTGATCACTGTATCTCTTGCTCTGTTATAAACCTGCATGTGAACTGGTCTTGTGACCACTAGCTTGTGCTCGGAATTTGTGTGGAATCCTTGAGATCCACCCTGAGCTTGTTGTTGCCTTGCTTTGCCTTGACTGGTCTTGTGACCCCTAGGTCTCCCCCACTTTGCCTATGGGGGTGTGTCAAACATTATACATGTTGTATTTGTGTAGGCTGTAGTGGGTTAGCCTATAGGGGGGTCACAGCATTAGGGTTTCATATTTGTACTCACAATCCTTGCTAGTTCATCATTCCAGTCTGTTATTACTGACAGAAGTCGGCTCCGCCCAAGCGAGGACGGGGCCAACACACAACTCCCGTTGACAGACATGTGCGGGGTGTAGAACCTGAGAGGAGTTGGGCAGGAGGAGAGGGTTGGAAGGTTAGCCTAGAGATTGGTAGCTGGGCGGCTTAGTGGTTCGGGAGGTTTTTGCTAGCGGTTCAGGATGGTTGCTCATGCCCCATGCATGCTTGTGTGTCTGTGCTTTGTTTCCTTGCTGACCCGCTAGCTAGCATACCTAGACGGAGCTTACTCAACTTGAGCTAGCCCATGCATGCCGGTACTGTTAAACTCATACACTATAGTCTGTGTAGGCTGTAGTGGGGTAGCTCATATGGGGTACAACACTTTAGGGTTTGGTACTTGTACTCCTCATGCTGCTCAATGCATTCATTCTCGTTCTAGTTTTTCACATGGTATCAGAGCAGGTTCCCTCGTGGGAACTGTTCCTAGGGCCCACCGATTTTCCTTTTTTTTTTTTTTTCCTGCCCGGAGCGCGCTCCGCCCCTGCCCGAGTCGCGCTCCCCTCTCACGGCCCCTAGCGGCCCCGTCGCGCCGCCCTTGCGGCCCCGTCGCGCCGCCCTTGCAGCCCCGTCGCGCCGCCCTCACGGCCCCGTCGCGCCGCCCTTGCGGCCCCTTCGCGCCGCCCTCGCGGCCCCTTCTCGCCGCCCTCGCGGCCCCGTCGCCCCACCCTCGCAGCCCCGGCGCCGCTCTTACCGGCCCCGGCGCCGCCTCTGCTGGCCCCGTCGCCCTACCCTCGTGACCCCGCGACCCCACCCTCGCGGCCCCGGCGTCGCCCCTCGCGGCTTCGTCGCCGCCACCCGCGACCCCACCGCCGCCCTTCGCGGCCCCGTCGCCACACCCGTGCGACCCTGGCGCCGCCCTTCGCGGCCCCGTCGCCACACCTCCGCGGCCCGGTCGCCACCCTTCGTGGCCCCGCCGCCTCCCTTCAGCGGCCCTGCCGCCCTTCACGGCCCCGCCGTCACCATCGAGCAGCCGAGCCGCCGAGCCGCCGGCGCCGCCGAGCCGCCGTTGCCGCCGAGCTGCAGGCGCCGCCGAGCCGCCGTTGCCGCCGAGCTGCAGGCGCTGCCGAGCCGCCGAGCTGCCGAGCTGCCGAGCCGCCGAGCAGCCGTTGCCGCCGAGCAGCTGTTGCTGCCGAGCTACCGAGCCGCCGAGCCGCCGCTGCCGCCGAGCCGCCGAGCCGCCGAGCCGCCGAGCCGCCGTTACTGCCGTCGCGGCCCTGTTCCTGCCGGCAACCTCGGTCCTTCTCGCCTGCCCGGTAAGAGCAGCGCCTCCACCACTGCACTGCCCTTGCCTGCTGCTCGCGCTGCTAGTCTACTGCTGTCATGGCTGCCCCTAGTGTCCTCACTTTTGACGCTGAGGGTCGGGCCATTGACTTTGACGTCTGGGTAGATGACCTGCAGCTTTTCCTGCTGAGCGATAGGGCAGACGGTCTCTCCCTCTTTGACCTCACTTCTGGTGCCTCTCCTGCCCCTGCTGCTGATGCTGACGCCACTGTTCGCTCACAGTGGGCCACGCGCGATGCTGCTGCCCGCCTTGCTGTGCGCCGCCACTTGCCGACCGCTGAGCGTGCGCACTTTAGCCAGTACAAGAGTGCTAAGACCTTGTACGACGCTGTAGTTGCACGCTACTCTTCCCCTGCCACTGCTGCGCTTAGCCGCCTCATCCTACCGTACCTCTTCCCTGACCTCGCCGCTTTTCCCACTGTCGCTGACCTCATTACGCACCTTCGCACTAGTGACACTCGCTACCGCGCTGCGCTTCCTGCTGAGTTCTGCGCCAAGAACCCCCCCCCCATGTACATCACCCTCTACTACATAGTCACCCGGCTCCCTGACACCCTTCGCCCGGTTAGGGACCACTTCCTCTCTGTTTGCCCCACCACCCTCACCGTTGACCTCCTCGAGGAGCGCCTTCTAGCGGCAGAGAAGAGCATAGTTGCTGTAGGAGCCTCTCGTGGTGACCCTCGTACCCCTGTCTTTGAGGGGTGCTCCCCCTCTCCCCTCCTGCCCTCTGTTGCCTCTGCTGCTGCGGCCGACCTCGTTGGTCTTGAGTCGGTCGCTGCGGCGTCTGCCCCTAGCGGGAGACGCCGCCCTGGCAAGGGCAAGGGGGGCAAGGGTGCTGGAGGAGCTGGCGGGGGCGGTGGAGGCGGAGGTGGAGGTGGTGGAGGGGGTGGGGGTGGCGGTGGGGGTGGTGGCGGGGGTGGGGGCGTCGGTGGCGGCAGTGGAGGCGGAGGCGGAGGCGGCGGTGGCGGTGGGAGCGGAGGTGGCGGAGGTGGCGGTAGTGGAGGAGGTAGCGGCGGAGGAGGTGGAGCTGGTCGGGGTGGCGCTGCACAGAGGGTTGGCTCCGGTGGTGGTACGCGCCAGCAGCAGCAGCAGCAGCGTACTCGTGAGACCCCTTCCCCCCAGCAGCTTCGTGAGTGGTACACTGCTCGTCAGCGGGGCGGGGGTGCTGGCCCCTGTACCTACGTTCTCCGTACCGGCGACCAAGCGGGTGAGCAGTGTGGGGGAGCGCACTCCACCCAGCGCTGCTTCGGCCGTCTGACGGACGCGTGGCGTCACCAGTTCCCCGACGCTACTGAGATCCCTCGCTGGGGCGAGCTGTCTAGGGCGGGTGTTGCGATCTTTGATCTTGATTATGATGCTATTCTTGCTGCCATGTATGCTGTGACTATTAGTGATGAGGGTGACTGTTACCGGTGTTTTCCGCCTGACCCAGGCATAGAGGCTGCTGCGCTAGGTGCTTGTGAGGCTGCTGCTCTAGGTGCCAGTGCGTCTGCCGCCCCAGGTGCCGGTGAGTCTGCGCTCTCAGGTACTGCGTCGTCACCGGACACCCACACCTTCACCCTTGACTCGGGTGCTTCCCGCTCCTTCTTTCGAGACTGCACCACTCTCACGCCGCTCAGTCGGCCCGTTGCAGTCTCCCTGGCAGACCCCTCTGGGGGTCCTGTCCTTGCCCACTACTCCACTGTCCTACCGTGTCCAGCGGTCCCGTCTGGCTCCCTGTCGGGTCTTTACCTCCCCTCGTTCTCTACGAACTTGGTGGCGGGTGCTGACCTACAGGATGCAGGAGTTGACCAGTTCACCCCTGCTCGTCAGCGGGTGACTCACTGCACGTGTGCGGACACGGGCCGACACTTGGCCACGTTTACCCGTCGGCCGGGGTCGAGCCTGTACACACTGACTACTGAGTCTCCTCCAGTCGCTGAGTCTGCTCAGGTAGCAGCGTCGGGTCAGGTGTTTGCTGCGGCGTCCAGGTCTGGTCCTGAGTCTGCCCCCTGCTCGTGTCGTCTCCTGTCCCACCGGACTCTCCTCTGGCACCACCGCCTTGGTCACCCCTCCCTGCCTCGTCTTCGAGGCATGGCTTCCCGTCTTCTTGTCTCTGGCCTCCCCCGGTCCCTCCCTCCCCTTCCTCCGGGGCCTGCCCCCACCTGCGTTCCCTGCGTCGAGGGGCGGCAGCGCGCTGCCCCTCACTCCTCCGAGTTTCCTCCGACCGAGGCTCCGCTGCAGACGCTTCACATGGACGTGTGGGGCCCAGCCCGCGTCCGTGGACAGGGTCACGAGCGTTACTTCCTGCTGGTGGTTGACGACTACTCGCGTTACACCACAGTCTTCCCCTTGCGCAGCAAGGGTGACGTCACTGAGGTGTTGATCGCCTGGATCCGCGCAGCTCGTCTCCAGCTCCGGGAGAGTTTCGGCTCTGACTTTCCTGTTCTGCGTCTGCACTCCGACAGAGGCGGAGAGTTCTCCTCTGACCTTCTGCGGGCCTTCTGTCGTGCACGAGGCATCCGCCAGACCTTCACGCTTCCGGACTCTCCACAGCAAAATGGGATTGCTGAGCGCCGCATTGGCATGATCATGGACGTCGCTCGTACGTCCATGGTCCATGCGGCTGCCCCCCATTTTCTGTGGCCGTTTGCGGTTCGGTACGCGGCGCATCAGATCAACCTTCACCCCCGGGTCTCCAGGCCGGAGACCTCCCCTGCTTTACTGTGGACGGGGAAGGCTGGCGATGCGTCTGCGTTCCGTGTCTGGGGATCTCGGGCGTTTGTCCGCGACTTGTCTGCGGACAAGCTGTCCTCTCGTGCTGTTCCCTGCGTCTTCCTTGGCTTCCCTCCTGACGCGCCAGGCTGGCAGTTCTACCACCCCACCTCGCGCCGTGTTCTGTCCTCCCAGGACGTCACCTTTGACGAGTCGGTTCCCTACTACCGTCTCTTCCCCTACCGCACTGCGTCCCTCCCTCCCCCGCCGCTCTTCCTTACGCCAGGTCCCCCTCCGGTAGACCCCCTCCCCCCTCAGGGTCCTGCTCCCTCAGGTGTGTCCCAGGTAGATGCAGTCAAGCCTGTCGAAGTAGCTGTTGACTCTGGTACTGAGCCTGGGGGTGCGGAGCCTTGGGGTGCTGAGTCTGGGGGTGCTGCGCCTGGGGGTGCTGAGCCTGGGGGTGCTGCGCCTGGGGGTGCTGAGCCTGGGGGTGCTACGCCTGGGGGTGCTGAGCCTGGGGGTGCTGAGCCTGGGGTTGCTACGCCTAGGGGTGCTGAGCCTGGGGGTGCTGTGTCTCGGAGTACGGAGCCTGAGGGTGCTGGGCCTGCTCGTGAGGCGTCTG